TGGTCTTCCAGGGGAAGAAAGTAATCCTCATCGTCGTTGTGGGACATCCTTTGTCAGGAGCTTGGTGTCATCGAAGCTGTTGTGACTCGTGAGGGGAAAATGTTGGTAATCTAAGATGTTGGCGGTGGTGGCGGGAGATCGGCCGCTATCTGACTTCTGACGCAGCTCCGGCTGCTGTTTTTAGTGTTTCAGCGGGATTGCATTCCTGAACCTGTTCACTCTTTCACTCATTCATTTTAGTTGGTTTTTATTTTCCTTTCGCTCATTTTTTACCGGGTTACACAATGCCCATCCCCATTATTGTTCAGGGGATTCGTGAGGGTATAGACTCGATTCCATATGCCTACACAGTGCTCAAGATCGCGCCATGGGTGCTACTCGTAGCTGCCCTCAAGTACTACTTTGGGGGAGCTCGGAATGGCTCAGAGCGGGTGATGCACTCGAAAATTGTCATGATAACTGTAAATTTACCATGATTGCTTCCCTTTCATCCAGTATTTTAACTGATACAATGCTCTAGGGAGGGACATCAGGCATTGGCGCCAGCGTCGCCCATGAGCTTGCATTACGCGGCGCCCAGATCATCCTCCTCACCCACCACTCCCCCTCCGACATTTTCCTAATCGATTACATCGAAGACCTGCGCAAGTCAACAGGCAATCAACTCATCTTCGCTGAACAAGTCGACCTCTCCTCCTTACATTCCATCCGAACGTTTGCGACCAAATGGATCGACAATTATCCCCCCCGACGACTGGACATGGTTATCTTGTGCGCTAGCACCGCCTTGCCCGCCTCCAGCAGGGGACAAATGACAACAGACGGCTTGAACGAGGAGTGGCAGGTCAATTACCTGGGTAACTTCCACCTGCTGAGCATTCTAAGCCCCGCGCTGAAAGCGCAGCCCGCTCACCGAGACGTGCGGGTTATTTTCACCACATGCTCGAGCTATATTGGCGCGAAACTTGATACCAAGCAATTAGAGGCGGCAACTAGTGGTTCTAAGCTGGCAGGGACAACAGCGGCCAAGAAGAATGGAAAGCCACAGAAGAAGGCATCTACGAAGAAGGAAGCCAGCCTATTCGGCCTGAGCAAACTGGCACTGATGATTTTCGCAACCTCCTTCCAGAAACACTTCAACGCTTATCAACGTCCGGACAAACAGCCGAACAGTACCCGCGTTATCGTCGTCGACCCCGGCCTTAGTCGAACTCCGGGAACCCGTCGCTGGCTGACGGGTGGCTCGCTCTGGGGTCTTCTTATCTACCTCCTCACCTGGCCACTGTGGTGGCTTGTCCTCAAGTCTCCTCAGCAAGGTGCGCAGAGCATCTTGTATGCAGCCATGGAGGCGCGGTATGGCCGTGACGCCGGCGGGTGGATGGTGAAGGAATGTCGGGAGGTCGATTACTCCCGAAAGGATGTCAAGGATGAGGAGCTCGCGAAGAGACTCTGGGAATTTAGCGAGAAGCAAATTGAAGAGAAGGAGAAGGAGGGTGCACTCAAGCGTGCTCAGACTAAGGCGAAGGAGAAGGGCACGGACAAGGACAAGAACGCAAAGCAGGAAAATACCAAGGGCTCGTCAACATCCGGAGGTGGTGTTGCAAAGGAGCAGACCTCTGGGTCCAGAAGGAGCCGTAAAGCAAACCGATAGATTATATTGAAACCCCTCAGTTAGAGCAATGTGTATAGAATTACCTTGCGATTCCGGCTTTTGCATGTGTACAGGAGCAGAAGAAAAGAAAGATTAAGGGAACACATCCAATTATTTCTGCAATATGTACCTAAATCGAAAGGATATAATATAGAAGCCACCAAGGAAATTCGTCTCTTTCAGTCTACAATACCTCATAAGTCTAAGCCAATGCGCTCGTGCACTTTTCCAGTCTTTCTCGCTCGCAGAGAACCTTTTTAGACCCATATTTTCATTCGCAATGATTATTTACTTCTTGAGCTGTTCCAGCAGCTCGGCGGGGGGCTGTTGACGGTAGCCCTGGGGGTTGTTCTTGGTCCAGCGCCAGAGGTCCTCGCAGGCCTGCTCGAGGGTACGCTGGGCTTTCCAACCAAGCTCCTTGTTGGCGCGAGTAGGGTTGGAGGTGAGGTTGAGAACGTCACCGGCGCGGCGGGGGGCAACCTCATAAGGAAGGTCACGGCCAACGGCAGCGGAGAAGGCGCGAATCATCTCGTAGACGGTGCTGCCCTTGCCGGTACCCAAGTTCCAGGCGCGGACGCCGGGGTTGTTGGAACGCAGGTAGTTGAGGGCCTTGAGGTGACCATCGGCGAGATCGAGAATATGGATGTAGTCACGGATAGCGGTTCCGTCGTCGGAGGCATAGTCTTAAGCTTGCGTTAGCACAGTCCACTAGTCCTTCACTCCATTGAAGTCGAAATTGTGTGAGCACATACCGTCACCGAAAACGAGCAGCTTCTCGCGCTTGCCGGTAGCAACCTGGGCAAGAAGAGGGAGCAGGTTGTAGGGGACACCCTGAGGGTCCTCACCCATGATGCCACTTGGGTGAGCACCAGCGGGGTTGAAGTAGCGAAGGAGGGCAGCGTTCCACTTCTCGGCCTCATCCGCCTTGCCGGCCTTGGTAGCATTGTTGCGCTGAGCGTTGATCACGTCGGTGATGGCGGTCTCAACGGCGAACTTGGTGTTTCCGTAGGGGTTGGTAGGGCCCAGAGGGCACTCCTCGGGGATGGGGATCATGTTGGGGAAGCGGGTAGCATCACCGTAGACGGTGGCAGAGCTGGAGAAGACAATGTTGGTGACATTGTGGCGGACCATGGAGCGAAGCAGGCAGAGAGTGCCGTAGACGTTGACCATGTAGTAGTCCAATGGTCTTTCGCCGGACTCGCCAACGGCCTGAAACAGACGACCATGCGTGAGCAATTGATTGCAATATACGCCGAGAAAGAGACAGAAGACATACCTTCAGAGCAGCAAAGTGAATGACACTGTCAATGTCGGGGTGGGCCTCGAAGACCTTGTCGAAGCCAGCCTCATCGGTGACATCGAGCTGAACGAACTCGGCCTTCTTGCCGCAGATCAACTCGATCCGATTCAGAGCCTCCACGGAGGAGTTGTACAGGTTGTCCGTAACGACGACCTTGTAGCCAGCCTCGAGCAAAGCGAGGGTGGTGAAGGAGCCAATGTAGCCAGTGCCACTGTGGATAGACGCAAAGGTACGGAGTCAGCAATCTGGACTTGTCGATAGTGGGGAGACAAGGTGAGCGAGCTATCTTGGCTGTTACTTACCCCGTAACAAGAACTGAACCAGCAGACATTATGACGACGACAGAGATTCAATTGACTGGGATAAGAATAAACAAACTACAAAAGATGACAGTCGCAGAAAGAATGAGATGGGATGAATTAAAAGAAAGCAGAAGAGCAGAAAGAAGCAGGAGAAGCCCGACGGGGGAGGGGCAGCTGGAGATTTAAGGGGAGGACCAGCTTATTATCAGGGTGGGGGGGACTGCGGACTGCGGAGGGGCATTCTCCCAAACCCAGATTATCACTACGCTGACAGCCTGTGTCTTTTTTCTTATCCAATACGCGGTAGTCGCTGTCTATTACTGCATTTTATCCATTCTTTCCTTCATCCGTTCGACTATTCCCTGAGTCTGACAGTGCTTGAGTCTGTAAGTCATGTTGCTCTTAGGAAGTATCATCTCCGAATGATTTTCATTCGATAGTTGATCGACAAAGTCCGGCGGCACAGTCAAACCCGACTAGAGAGGTACGCAGCGCCACGATGGTACGATCGGCTCTTTGATTAACTCTACTGGTGCGTGCATACGTATGGCAGTCCTACAACCGGGCAGGATGCAGATGCCTCCTGCACAGCAAGCATACAGAGTATGCAAGAGTCACCAATTGACCACTGTCAGCCGAATTCGATCAACGGCTTGCATTCGGCCAAGCCTCTAGGAATCCATTCGGCTCATTAACGACCACCTTCGGGATGTTAGCTGCAAACTGGACCTCAGATAAAGAGTATCTGTGACCGTCTTGGCTTGCAAGCCTGCAAGAAGGCTTTCCCGGGGAGAGCAGCCAAGCGATTCGGCATTCGTTGCTTACAGTCGTCGCTGAGTTCGCGAACTATCCGAGAGAAATCCGTTGTGACAACTAGCTTAAATATTGAGATCTACCAACCAGGCAACCGGTGTCACTGTTTGTAGGTTGCCAGCTGTTGTCTGTTGGACAGTGAACTAAGGAACTGGACTGGAAGCGGGTCCAGTTCCGCTTGACGGTGGACCAACTTGGCAGCTTCGACCATTCTAAGCAGACGATCTAAGGGTCTAATCTCCAGAACCATTGAAATGGATAATGCGTGCGCAAAATGCCCCTTGTCCACTGTCCACTAAGATGGCCACGTTCCCAACTACATAAATTTCAGTCTGAAGATCCCTAAACAGTACAACAATGCATGATACACATGTCTGGCAAACCCATGGAGTCTAGCGTAGTATTCCGCCATCAATGTCACACTTTTACGAAATTGTATTTAGAACAAGGCCAGTACTGGTGTTGATGAACTGAAATTGTGTAGCGCCGACGACAAGATATGGCACCAGGAGGCGCGCAATACGCAGCACCCCGTAGAGAAATGAGCATGAATAAGAGTACATTGAGTCGTAAATCCCTTTTCCCAGCCGCAAAGATACATGAGCGTCAAAAGTCTCTTCAGATATGTGCGTTTTCGACACCCACTTGAAGTAAAGGTGGTAGAATTGGAGATTTGCAAGGGCTATGTAGAGCCAAGAAATCCATGTATGTCCCTGCTCGGCTGTCATCTGCTCCTGCACTCTGGGTGACAAGCTCTATGACACGGCATCTGCGATGTCATGAATGAAGTCCATAACATGCAATGGGCAATGTCATCATTTGGAATTAGCATGAATGCCAATCAGACAGGACGCGCTGTGCGTGGAGTCTTCTCCCGCTGTAGCACGCAACCAATATGGCAAAGCAAATAAACCGTTCATTATATAGTATCGATTTAGCCGAGAAGTTCGACATCAAGTCCAATGGCACGCATAAATAGGTTGACGTTTCCTAGTCGTTGGCTGGCCATATCGGCGGGCAGCGTTTTGCTGTATGTCACTGTTTCCATCACACGATCCCTAGAACATGTTAGCATCCGTCCGGCAGGTCGTACAAATCTTATGGCAAACCATAAGATGTTGAGAGAAAAAAACTCACTTCACTGCGATGACCAAGCGCTGCTGCTGCTCAGGGCTCGCTCCGATGCCAACCGCTGCCAAAAACTGCCAAACATACATATCGTCGCCAGCATTGATCGAGGCGGGAAAGATATCGGCAAAGATTGGCTCGAGTGTGTCGAACAGGACGTTGAATTTCTCAACCCATTGTTGCCAGTCACGTTCCGCGGCCTGCCCAGCTTCCTTTACAATCTCCGCACGGCTGAGCAACATAGTCAATATTCCCAATCCAATGCGAGTCTTGGCCACTAGCTGCACGTGAGTCTGCGCAATCACAAGACCCAGAAGACCAATGATGATGTTGAACGGTGCCTCGTTCACATATCCTAAGAGGCTGGGCAAGACGGCCTGCGAGAACAGATCAATGGCCTCTCTAACCGCGAGCGAAGGCTGGTTCTCGCCTGGAACAGGCTGTGCGCTTCGAACCACGTCCAAGGTGTCCAAGTGGACAACGATCATTGTGAGGATTGTGACTCGCTGTTCTTGGTCAATGTGACGGAAAATGCGTGGAATAGCCTTCTTGCCCTTGGGATAAGACAGAAAAGCAATAAATGGATGTGGAGTGTTAGTGTTAGGAACAATAGGCTCCATGACCTTGAGTTCTTGCCACAATTTTTGGTTCAAGGAACGGATCTTCTGGCGCCATTCCAAGTGCTTCTGGATGGCTTCAGAATCATTCTCGTCAGGCAGAGGGGGCATGGTGCGCTCCATGTCTTCCATATCCATCAAAGTACTGTACACATTTTCAATGTTCATCAGGATAGACTTCCGATCACTGAGGCTCAGGTCCGTTGGTTGCTTCTTGGCAGCCTTGGCTCCGTCTGAGGTCTCGGGGCGCTTGATGTTGAGCATTGGCTTCGGCGCTTTGGCATTGCTGAAAGAGATCTTGCCCAGACTGCCCTCAATAATCAACTGCTTGTTCTTCGGTTTCGCTTTCGCCGCTTCAACTGCACGCTGAACCTGCTGCTGCATCCTTTGCATATGGTTGTCGGCACTCTGGAGATTCCTTCGCCCATGGCCACCAAGGCGGTTACCAGTCTGAAGCAGGTAGGTCTGCGCAAAGTGGCCAAGAGGCTGATGCGGATGCTGCCGAGGCGCACCACGAATCTGGCTGTAAACCTGGTAGTAAAAGTCCTCCGCTAAGACAGCCTCCAAGTCCGCATCGGCAACATTACCTGCGGCCGCTACAAGCTGTTGCAATTGGATCCGCGTGATGAAGTTCTTGTCTTGGGGAGTCATCAACCCATTACCCTTTGACAGGAGGAATATCTTGTGATTGCGCTTTGCCCGCTTCGCATCCTCCATCAAATACGCCATGCGTTGTTCCTCCGTCAACTGCATCAGCTGCTGAGGGTTGGTGATCAAAGGGAGACCGGCATTTGCTCCTTTCATAGCCTGCGGTGGCGGATGCTGTGGCGGAGGCTGCTGCACTCGTGGGGGGATCGCCTGACGCTGCGGAGATGCCATATGCTGGGGCAAAATATTGGCATTTTGCAGGAGATGTAATGGCACATTTGGCGCACTTGGTGGTAGAGAAAATGGCTCTGGCACCATGGAGGGATGGTGCAGAAGATGTGCTGGTGGTACATCTTTGGGAAACTGGGCCTGTAGAAACTCGGGCGGCAGTTGTGAAAAGGCTTCGGGAACGTTTGGCAGCTGTTGGTTCCGTTGAAGATGCGAAAGATCGGGCATCGGCATCGGCATAGAGACCGGGGGCTGCACCGGGGCAATACCGTGACTACGTAACTGAGCTTCGACCTCCTCCAAGCTTAACATTTTCTTGGCTTGCGATACAGGCTCGTGAACATGTTGGTGAACATGCTGGTGAACATGCTCGTGAACAGGCTCATGAGCAGGCTCTGGCTTCTTTTGCAAGCCCCAGACGCTGGACTTGGCTTGCAGGTCAGGGATATATCCCGGGTCCTGGTATTTCTCATATCCAGTACGTTTGGGTTTGTCTCCTGAGACGCTGGTTGCTGGAGGCTGAGCAGCAATCTCTTTTGCCGAGCTTCCACTAGGAGCACCCGGGTGTTGTAGATTGAAGCGAACTTGCTCCTCACCGATAGCATCCGCAACCTGTGCTGTCTGCCCAAAAAAGTCGAAGTCCTTGCCGACTGAGCCTGTGCCAACGTCGCCAAACGTGTCCTCGTTAAAGGCATCTTGATCGTCGTTGAGCTGATCCCCTAAACCATCGTAAGTGTCCTCAAAATCGATGCTGTAAACCCCGATACGCAACTTTTGATTAGCATTATGTTTTCAATCATATGGCTGCGACTCATATTTCAAAGGAGACGAAAGCGACTCACGCATCATCATCGTCGGCTAAGCGTCCTGCCCCAGCACGGGCGACTTCGGCAAAGGGATCAGGAGCTTCGAAAAAACCCCTTTTTTCACCCGCGGGAGCTCGGTCCCTCGGTAGGGTAGTATCGAAGCCGAAGAACGACATCTTCGGCTGGAGGTTGGACGGGGACAAGGTAGATTGAGGGGATAGCAAGATCTACCACGGCATTCTCGTAGTGGGATGAAGTTAGTCAGTTCGGTGCCCGTCTGATATCACCCGCTAGTCAAATTGGGTTAGTGTCAGCGAAATAATTGCCTGAGGCAGAGAGTCGTCACGGGCACACCGCCACAGGACACGTTTCATACAATGTGGAGAGATTCCTTCATGCAACGAAAAAGGGATTGAGGCACAAGGGTCAAGGAAATAGCGTGACCTTTTGAATACAAATAGTGTTTATTCTGAAACTGAATGCAACATCCCTCCATGATGTCTAAAATGGCACAACTTGATCGTCTCCAGCCCCAATCTGATCTCCAAACCAGAATGGATCGTCGCATACTAACGTCTGCCAGCCCCATACAAAGAATAGATAAGAAGACATGTCTAGATGCCTCGTCCATCTTGATGAAGCTAATCTTAATCGTGTAACAAATCCGGCTTGGACCGATTCTTTCGCGTCCTGTTGTTAGCAAAACTAGTTCTCCTTTTGAGGAAATGCGCGGGGCCTAATTGCTGGACAAGACAAAAGGTGGCTGACAGCAGTTGCATAATTACTTTGCGTGGCCTGGCGTTCGTGGATACCTTCTAGATAGCTCCCACTGGCGTCCTTCAGGCGGAACATTTTCTATAGCTCATTTCACACTGATTTCAATCTTAATCAATCACAATAATTTCTGACTTGAAGACTGGCTTGGCCCGGTCTGTCAAGGCCAAGTCAACGTGGATGTCATTGTTCCACATCTCCTTTTGATCCTTTAATCCTTTAATCCTCGTTGGCGTCGCACCAAATCCGTCGGTTTTGAGGGCACAAAGACCGGTTCAGCAACTTCTCTAGGCCTGGTCGCAATTTATTTAGTATCTCTGGCCGTGCCTTTCCTGTTATTTTCTCGTCACTCGTTTCGTTCTCGTTGATCAAAGTCACCTTCGCCCATCTGTCATACGACTTCCGCAGCAGGCAACATCATCCTTCTGATTGTCAACCTCCTTCTCAGCCAGGGATCTCCTGCCCGATAGAAGAGTGAGAGATTCATCATGTCTTCGGGACCGAAATATATGCGATACTTGGTCTTTGCTGTGGTGGTTCGTTGCCCTTGGAATTTCCCCCTATGCCCTCTCGCAGTGCCACTGACGCAGTACCAGGGGTTGGCAGTATTCTTCTTAATCTCTCGCAGTTCAATTCCCATCCCCCAAAATATCGGATCGAAGTTGAGTCCTGCGAATTACAAAGATACCATCTCACAATCTGACAAAGCGCACAATGACGCGCCACCAGAATCGCCGGTGAAGGAGGCACCGGGAAGCGCAAATACTGCGCCAGTTGGCCGAGTAAATGCGACATTTGTCACGCTGGCTCGCAATTCCGATGTCTGGGACATTGCGAAATCGATTCGTCAGGTTGAGGATCGCTTCAACCGTAACTACCATTATGACTGGGTCTTTCTCAACGACAAGCCATTTGATGACACTTTTAAAAAGGTCACCACATCCCTGGTGTCTGGAAAAACATTCTATGGTGAAATTCCAAAGGAGCACTGGTCGTACCCCGATTGGATCGATCAGGAAAAGGCCAAGAAGGTTCGAGAGGAAATGGGACAGAAGAAGATCATCTATGGTGACTCCGAGAGCTACCGCCACATGTGCCGCTACGAGTCCGGTTTCTTCTTCCGCCATCCACTGATGCTGAACTACGAGTACTACTGGCGCGTGGAACCCAGCATTGAGCTTTACTGCGATATCAGCTTCGACCCATTCAAGTTTATGAAGGAGCAGAACAAGAAGTACAGTTTCGTCCTTAGCTTGTATGAATATTACGACACCATTCCCAGTCTATGGGATAGCGTTAAGAAGTTCATGGGCAATCACCCCGAGCACATTGCAGAGGGAAATGCGATCGGTTTCTTGAGTGATGATGGAGGGAAGACATACAACAAATGTCACTTTGTGAGTTGCCGTCATTACAAGTCCTGCTGTTGCTGTTGCTGACTGATCATCTTGCTCAGTGGTCCAACTTTGAGATTGGAAGCTTAGAGTGGCTGAGATCGAAACAGTATCTTGACTATTTCGATGCTCTTGACCACGACGGCGGCTTCTTCTATGAGCGATGGGGAGACGCCCCAGTTCATTCCATTGCGGCCGGCGTCATGCTCAAGAAGGAAGAGATTCACTTTTTCAACGAGATTGCATACTACCACATTCCATTCACACATTGCCCGACGAGTGAGCAGATGAGGCTGGACCTGAAATGCCACTGTAATCCTAGTGAGAATTTCGATTGGAAGGGTTATTCCTGTAAGTTCACTTGCCGCCCTCTTGAGACGTGTATTAACCTCAACATGTTCAGGCACATCCCGGTGGTTCCAGATCAATGATATGGAGAAGCCAGAGGGCGCTGAAGAGCAGAGTTGACTAGCCGTGCTGAGTAAAGTTTGTCTGGTCTTCATTATAGTGAGTTCTGTTGTTGGGTTGCTCTTCCTTGTCCGAGTGCGCATCGTCCATACCGCCTATCGTCTATTCAAATTCATCTGTGATTTGATACCATCATCTTAATGTGGGTACCTATGACCCGGCGGTGGTCTGTCCTTGAAGGGTCATCGGCAACGCTGGCGTCGGTTCAAATTACCGAAAGCTGTCTTCAACTTAACCTTGATGTTCTGCGCCATTCAGCTTTGTGTAATTTGACCATTGACTTACCTGCTCGCTGCTCTGATTTTGGGGACGCTTTTGTTTGGGTCAGTATATGTTTATGGAACATCAGAGGAGATAAAAGGATGATCATTTGTGCTATGGGTTTTTTGATATCATGTCAGAGGAAGAAAATATTGGCCCATCTCGCAAACTGCATCATAAATTGTACATAGCTGTTCAACGACAGAAAAGTGACGACTACCAGACCAATTGTTAAAATGAAAATTCTGTAACAAATTGTACAATGTGTGAATCGGCATCCCTCTACCGCAATGGAAAGTCACCACACGACCGACTTCTTGACTTCTAATCCTTCTTGGGCTTCTTAGTACCATATTTCGATCTGCTCGTCAACCGACTCGCAACACCACCCTGTAAATCAAGCATTAGCAACGGCCCAAACCACCAACTACATTCAAAACACCGCGAGCGACACATACCAGGTCCATGGCTCCCCGGACCAAATGGTATTTAACACCAGGGCAATCCTGGGCTCGACCTCCACGGACGAGAACCACACTGTGCTGCTGAACATTGTGGCCTACACACTATTAGCAAAATCGCCTATCGAGTTGACAATTGACACTCGGAAGAATCCCACCTTCACCGGGAATATAAGCCGTCACTACCTTCCCGCTGCTCAGCCGTACTCTTGCAGTCTTCCTCTCACCAGAGTTGGGCTTCTTGGGCTTCGTGATACCCGTCTTCAGGCAGACGCCCTTCATCTGGGCTCTACCGATGAGCGCGGGAGATCGCGAGCGACGCGCTCGCTGCGATACTCGGCATCCGCGACGAACTTGGTTATAGGTCGCCTGGCGGAAGGGGGAGGTGGAGAAATGACGGGTGATAGGGCCTGCGCCTGCGGCACTTGCTGCTGCTGTGATGGCGGTGGGTGTGCGGAGGACGGGCTGAAATCGGGAGACTGTTGGCCTCGAGACTGCCGGGATGGTTGTGAGAGAAGGCCGCTGGGCTAGGGTCCGGAGTGTGCGGAGGGCGAGGGAGGAGATGAATGGTGGCATTGTGGCGGTGGTATGTATATGGCTGGAATTGACCGTCCCCTTCAACTTCTGTATCGCGGCGTTGATACGGAGAACGGCATAATTTCTCGATAATATCACGTGAGCCGAATCCCATAAGCTGGCTGCCGAGATGGTTCCTCTGCGGGCCCGGAGAAGCTGGACGCGCTATGCGATTGGAGCCTTGGCACCTCAGGCTAGTGACTATCGTAATGCTAGAGCTACCTACGATATCAACCTACTCAGCTATCACCTTGACTTCACCACCTTCGTCATACAACTTCCATCTGTCTCGTTCATAGACCAAGAAGCTTCATTGATTGAGAAACTCTGAATTCAAGCCTGTTATCCATTAATCTACACCTCCAGCATCACCACCGCCAAAATGGTATGTCATATCCTTTCAATTGCCATGGCCATTACCAGACAGTCGAGCTTGCAATTCCTCGAACAGCGTCACTAACGCACTTGCAGTCTCTCCGCATAGCACCCCCAGCAAACTATGCTACCCAAGCCTCCAACACAACCACCAGTAACCCCACCGCTCGCCCATCAAAAGGCGCCCCATCCGCCCCCGGTCTCCCCGACACCCTCCGCAACAAGATCACCCTCCCAGCACCCGTGGGTCCCCCGTCTAGCAACCAAACCGCCGTCCCCTCATCGACACATCCACTCGAAGCCCGCCTGCTCGCCTGGCGCCAGACCCAGGACGCCTTGAAGATGGAGACGCTCCGTCGGGCATACGGGATCGCAGAACCTGTGCGGCGCGGCATGGAGCTCAAGATCGTGCGGGATGGTACTTTCCGGCCTGCGGTGCTGGGCGGAAACAAAGGTGGTAATGTGCACGAGGACATTCTGGTTCTTGGGGGACGGGATACAGAGATTGGCTGGGAGGATATTTTCCAAGGTCGGTTGAATGTCTGGATCTCCGCTGCCGGAATGACGATGCTAATACTTTTGATGCAGGAGACGAATTCAGGGAACCGCCTTCCTTCCATGACGAGATGGAGAAGAGACTCCGGGTGGAGTTTTGATTGGGGTGTCAAGCTTGTTCTGTCTTCTGCTTAATTTTCCCATGAGTCGTTACGTTTCTGATACATTGTCAATAAAGACCTTAGGATTCTAAGACTTGTTTCTCTGCGATGTCTGGCAAATTGTCCCGGAAAGCTACATTAAGACTCTGTGTCACTACATGAACTTGGGAAAATGCTGGTAAACTTCAAAAAGAACAACTTTCATGAGTTC